GAAAGCAACCACTCCGATGCCTTCTCTAAAAACAGATATGCGATTCAGCACTTAAAAATTTAGCAAAATGCGTCCGGCACGTTTATGCATTTTATGAAGGTAACACATGGATCAGAAATAATCTTGCAAAATTTCAGCTTCATAGCTTTTCCGATTCACTAGTTGAAAGTGCGGTTAAATAAAATCGGTGTACCGGCACAACCTCTCAACAGTATCCACTGTGCAGAAACACACGAAAATTATATGGTGAACACACATGTCCAACCTGAATTACCGATGCTGCTACAGAAACTCAAACATATTTAAAGTGTTATATATCAAATTCAAATTCCGGATCCGTTTTTCCATCACGAAAAACAAACCTTTTTGTCAAACCAAACAAGTTCAGAATCACTAAACAGTACGGCCCAACATTCCTTCCATTTTTTTCCCAAAAATCCCGACTTATATCGCAATATTTCGCCTTCTTTTAATTTTCGACTCTCGGCCATTGCTAAAAAAAAGCCGAAATTTCAAATTAAACTTAGACAAAACAGAGCTAGCAACTTCCGTCAACCAACTGCGACCCAGCTAATTTGTGAAGCTCTCTAGCAAAAGAGATGGATTTGCCCTTAGTGGATATACCAAGACATCACCATAGCCATACATAGGATGTAATTTAGCACAAAATAAGATCAAGACTACTTTGACTAAAATACAGCTATGCCAAGTTACGTGGCCCGTGCAACTGGATTCTCCAGCGAATCCGCAAACTTTGGGACCACTTTGGCAATGCTCACTGATAAGAAGTGCCACAGCGTCCGAAATCCAGCAAAACACTGGAATAAATAAGCGACTCAGGGAAAAAAGCGAAATGTTGCGGGAAGAAATGAGATGTAACTGATCGATGTTCCGTTGCAGCGATTGTTTTCGCCTGCTTGTTGCTGCTTTTAGCATCCATCCATCGATCGAGAGCGAGGGGCTCCGGAAGCGTCCGGAGCTGACTGTGATGAAATTGCCGCCTCACATGACTGTGCTACTAGTAGGCAAGGCGTGCTTTTGTTGACGCAACGGTTCTGGAAAAAGAGACTTTAGTTTGCCAAGGGCTGAACTGGGTCAGAGGGTCGCTGAATCAGCAAAACTGCACGAGTGGGGGGGTGGCGAACTGGGATGGAACAAGTTTGTTGCTGAGCAGTGCTAGTGCCTTGCAAACCCTCCTCCCTCCGCTCCTTCCCCCCGCCCCCTCCTCCTTAAGTGGAGTGTAAAATTCAGAGCCGCTCCTGCACTCAGAGGATGGTGTCCAGTGCTGCAGCAACAACAATAAGGCGCTGAGAGTGAAAATGTGTTAACGGAAACGTGACTAACGGGCAGGAGCGGAAGAAATAAAAACTGCGGATAGTGTTAGCCTTAAGGAAAATGAAACATTTCACCCTGCCATTTCACTTTAATACTTTGCGCAATTTGGTGTTTAACCATAATACTACGTGCTGTAGGAATTCCTATGAGCTGCCTTCCGAGGGACTAACGTGTCCAGCTAGCTGGGGACGGTTGCTTTCATTAAAAACGTCTACG